GAGTTTTAGGACCAGAAATAGTTGAAAGGACGGTTGAGGTAATCGATAAGATCCGTGCAAGAATAAAGGCAACACATGATCGACAAAAGAGCTATGCAGATACAAGGAGGAAGGATTTAGAATTCCAAGTTGGGGATAAAGTGTTTCTGAAAGTAGCACCGATGAAAGGTGTACTTAGATTTGAAAAGAAAGGCAAGCTACGATCCCGGTATATCGAACCTTTTGAGATACTTGATAGAGTCGAAAATGTGGCTTACCGACTAGCTTTGCCACCTGAATTATCGACAGTACACAATGTGTTCCATATATCAATGATAAAGAAGTATGTACATGATCCTAATCATGCAGTAAGTTATCAAACCTTGGAGGTACAGAAAGATTTATCGTACGAGGAACTACCGATCAAGATATTGGATTGAAAAGTGCATAAACTAAGGAATAAAGAGATTCAGCTGGTTAAGATACAGTGGAATCATCACGGCGTAGAAGAAGCCACTTGGGAAAAAGAAGAATAAGCCAAAGACAAATATCCAACACTATTCGCCCAATCAGAAGGTCAATTTCGAGGATGAAATTTTAATTAAGGTGTGGGGGATGTAGAACTCCAAATAATTCTAGACACCTTAGTGGCACTAAGACATGAATATTGGATTACTAAAGTATACTTCAAATTTTTAGTTTCATTTGAGATCCATTTTTGACATAGGAAACATTCGATTTAGAAAATGATATCTAAATAAAAATTGTAGTTCTTTGAGTTAGCTTTCCAATTCACTTTGAATTACCTCAATCGGATATCGAGAGAAGAAGTTATGATAGAAACACTGAAAGCTGTACAGTGTCAACCGGACTACAATCGGTCGACCGAAAATTCTCGTTTTTCTCTAGAATTTAAATATTTATTTTCATCAATTATTTTCTCAAAGGGCCACCCACGTTTTTGGCAATAAAAACTCCACTAAATTGAAGCATTTAATCTCAAACTTAAATGACACCCATATTTTCTCTCTTAAATGAAATTTGACCCTTCATTTGCTTTAAGTTATGGGATATTTACCTATAAACAGAGACCTCATTTCACTCATTTTTCTCACACCAAAGGCAAAAGCTTTTACATACTAAAGAAAGAGTTTCCAAGAGAGAAAAAGAGAAGGAAGAAAACTATTTTTCCTAAAAGTTTAAGAAGTGTTTTCAAGCATTAATTCTCAACGGTTTTCAAACATCCAAGGAGTGCATTTCTTTCAACGTCCAAGTTTCATCCAAGTTTTCAAAGTTTTAAAAGCATCAATCAAGGTAGGTAGAGGTGCAATGTATTTAATCGTGTTAAGTTATAAGTTTTGATTCATGTTAATATTTGTATGTCAAATGGTACTCCGGTACCGCATACCCCTCTATGTTGAAGAAATGTTCGTATGTCAAATGGTGCCCTCAGGTACGGCATACCCCTTCATGTCAAATGGTGCCTCCGAGTACGGTATGTATGAAAAGTTATAAAGTTAATGTTTTGAAATGTATAGCTTGATCACGAATGCACCTATGACACCTATTGAGTTTTTCAACTCACGGGTTTAATCCCATCTCTACAGATTTAAGGAATCCTACCTCCGGCATGGATGGAGGAGAAGACGGAGAGTGATGCAACAAGCCCATGAAAATTCGGTGAATAAGTGATTTGGATTTATTTTTATGAAATGTTTTCCAATGTTATTTCTTTAAAGTTTTGAATAATGCAGAATGCGAGAACAAGTTATGTTTTCTTCAAATAAATTATATTTTGTTATTTTGAAAAATGATTCAGTGTTTTTGTTTAAAGTATTGTTATTTAAATTATTATCCGAAGATGTAAGTTTCCGCTAAAACATATACATTTGTTACTAAACCACCAGTTAAGCTAAGTAAAGTAAATAGCGTTCCGGTCCAATAAGGGTCGGGGCATTACAAATAATTCACACAAGTTGATTGCAATGTCAAAGCAAAACCAGCATTTTTCCCCCTACAAAGTGCTTTAAAATGATTAGAATATTATTTGACTATTTTGAGTGAGTTAAGTTATTCAAGTTGCTAATTTCTCTTCTTTCCAAATTTAAACTCTCCTAAACTTAATCAATTGCAAAAATTCTACAACTTAGTAAATCATAGCCTGCCATAACTTTTTTTTTTATTGCAGCTAATTTAAATTTATCAACACCCAAGTTTTGTCTATAAGGTTTTAAGTTTGCATAGAACCCCAGACCTAATCCATAAAACTTGTCAAAATATAGGAGATAAAATCTGAATTATGTGCTTTTACACAGTGATTTCTTCTAAATGTATGAAAATAACATGAAAAAAATCATGAAAGGGTATTCATTTACTTCAACGGTTAACATAGTTAAACACAAATCATTAACCACATAAGCAGTGCAAAGTATACACCCTATTTAGTAAGTTTTAAAACCAGTGAAATCATTTCACATTCAACACAACCTAAAAAAAGTTCGGATACATACCTATCGTCTCCCACGGTTAAAGGAATTATTCCAGTTGCATCTGGACAACCATTAGTACCGTGGTTAGGACCCCATTTCCTACCATCAGTTCTATCATTGTCCTCTGACGAAAGAGATATATCAATATCCTTAGAACTAGTCTTGGTCCAGCCATTGTCCTCCTCATCTTGCAACCTGGGAATCATAAGCATGGAAGTACATCTTACTCAACGCGACATCTTTAAATTCAAGTGAAATTCAATTTGAGTTGAGAATTAACAATGAGAAAACGTTGTTGCTCTACAAAATAAGCAGGTCTGTATATGAGGAAATGTATGTGATAATTGGCGAAAGATAAGCGGGAGGGGAATGATTTTTTTTTTTCGAAGAATTGGGAGGGGAAAAACAAGTGAGAAGTGATTGGAAATTGGCGGTGGAATTGGAAATGAAAAGTTGAGATTTTGGAAGGAATTTTGGGAGAGATGCTAGCTTTGGTCAATTTGAAGAAAAATGTTCTTGTATAGATAGAAATATAAATTCAGTATAATAATATGCAAAATTAATAAATCTTATATCTAAAATATTAAACCTTTTACAATTAGTTGGTATTAGATAACAAATCAATTTCAAATGAATTAATATGGAAAAAATTTGATTTTTGTAGGGAATAGTTATTATTAATGAAAATATTAAAATATATAGCAAAAATTGTTATTTAGTAACGCAGTGTTGATCGCATGACAGGTTAATCATGTTACGAATACATGATGTGTTGTACTATCTGATTTTTCTAATCTGTAATGTCTACAAATAGCTTGATCCTCCAATTATGAATTCCTCAAGTCTCGAGTGCGATTTTCTTATAATTTTCAAAAGAAAATGAAGAGGATTTGAATCAAGCAATACTGAGTTCTTTGACTATTATCACATCGTGTCCCTCCCATATTGATGCGAAAGGGTTCGAATCAAGGGATGCTAAGTTGTTAGATAGCACGTTGATGGCCCTAAGATACCATGAGTTGACAGATCAACGCAAAGATGGCAATTGATTGCAATCTTTTCCTAATTGTGGTAATTTTAAACATGTTTTGAAAATTTGGCCATAACTTTCGCCACAATTATCAGAATTTCAATTATGACCCCAATTCAGAAAACTCTTTTCGGTATGCACATCGTGGCCACAAGCCATGTTGGGTGGGCATCGTTTTCAAGGTCAAAATCTACTATTTTCCTTTTCGAATTCCCTTTTTTTTCCATTTCTGGTAATATTTAGTTTGTCATTTTCTTGATGATTATGAACTCGATTTGAGTCAGACTTTTGGCAAGTAACTTCTTTTATTACGTAATTTATTTTATTATGATTATTGACATTTTGCTATTTTGGTGAAACTTTCTTGGTTTGGGTTACGTTGGTCAGTTTGAGTTTCGGCCCAATTAAAGTTGGATCCCAGTTTTTTCTTTTTTCATCTTAGATATTTATTTTTTTAATTCATCGGGTTGGGTTGGGTTGGGTTGGGTTAGGTTTTAAATCATAACCGAGACCCAATTCAACCCAACTTCAAATTTAATTTTCTAATCCAACCGATTGAACTTCGGGTTGAGCGGTTTTGATCACTTTTCAACCCAACCCAAATTTAGCGTCTTGTAGTTTTGATCACTTTTGAAAATTGGCAGATGTTTATCCATATGGTAGTTGTAATTTTCTCTTTAATTTTCAATTGTGCATGATATGTAGCAGTGCAACACTTTGAGAGTTGAGCAAAAGGATGACTTTTCCCTTAGACAATGTTGGTAAATAAAGTGTTGAACAAGAGGCAGAAAGTTATGAGAAGCATATGTTGAAATCAATGGCCCGACACTACTTGAGAAGAAGTACAATAGTAGGTGAAAAGTTGGATGAAAAATAGCTAGAAGAGCTCGGCCAAGCAAGCTAATTTTTCCACCAGCTAGCAACTCCCCAACGAGAGCTCCCCAAGTTTATCTGTACTCTCAAAATACATATCCATATTTATGAGATGTCTAGGATGTCGAAAGGAGGAGTGGGACTATTGGAGAAGAGACGGGATACAAACACAATTCTGTCACCTATGTTTTAAGCAAAGAAGGACAGAGATGAAGCAAGGCTAAGATGACTCGACTTTGAGAGTTCAACATCAAAAAAGACACACAAGGATGAGTAGCAAAAGTGGCTGTAACCCGAGCTCTGCTAAATTATATCATACAGGCTAAGTTGGAGAATTTAATATTTCCAGTAAAACTTCGTACATCAAATTAGTGGCAGTGAACCATAATCCATAGAATTCAGCTCAGAAGTTCGAACAAATTTTTTTTAAAACAATGTATTTTAAGAAACCTGAATGTTTCTATTCAATTGGATAATTAAGAAAACATGTTTAATCATAGCAAGTCCAGCTCCAACCGATATAACTTCTGATCACAATTCACTACCTCTACTTACTCTACACAACCAAATGTGTTTTAAGTGCCATGGCAATAATAAACTTTGCTAGACTTTGGAAGCCACAACTCAAATTATTAACAAACCAACTAAAGAAATAACATTAAAATGTCCAAAGCAGTAGAGGTCTCAAATAGAATACAACATCGTCCACCGAGATACAAGGGCCAACAAACAAATTGTGTCCAGCATGAATTCAAGGCAGTACTCAGCACAGAAATTCATTATTATTGAACAGATACAAGGGGTCCAATTTAAACACGTAGATAATGAGTACTAGCAGGTTTAATTAGGAGATTTCTACTGGTATTTGACATGGGTTTGGCTGTAGTACAGATCGCCATATTTGGATTCCCGAATCATCATTTCTCAAAATCACCGAACTGCTCAAATTTAGTTACTTGAAACATCACAGCTCTTCATGTAATCCTTCTCCAGTTTGGCCACCATTTTCGTTCCCATATACTGATCAAATGTTATCCTGCATTAAGTCCATGAATAATACAAACAATGACATAAATAGTTAACTAACAAATGAACTAAAAATGAAAAGAATAATAAGAATACAATTTTCTCTTTCACTTGCACTTGTTGTAAAACCATCACCACTATCAACGTAATCTGGTTCTACATTTTTTTCTATATCAGGACTTTCTTCTACTTCTATATTGGACATCCTAGAGTCAGCCCAGACTACTTATTCAGCCTCAACATCGTCACAAGCTAAATTTTGGCAATTGAACTCTGATGTTATTCGAACAGGTTGATGGGTAGACGATGGTTGATCCTCTTGGAATACAAGTTGTAACGCCCCAATTTTTTTCATTAAGCATAAACACGGGAACGTTACGAAAACTCATTTTTCTTTAATTAAAAAAAATGCGGAACTATATAAAATTCTTCAATAAACAAATAATTGTAACGTTTAAATTAAAATTATTGAAAGCGTATCTAACCATAAACATAAACTCCTAAGTAATTTAAATAATGCGTTCTAAATTAAAATAAACAAATTGCTAAATTTAAAATGACAAACTTATTTCTTTTTCTCTATTCTTTATCCACTTGGCAGTCCGCATCACCAATTCTCCACTGTTCCAATTGACCCGAACTAATCTGAAAAATTAATGTAAGAGTGAGTATTAAAAATACCCAGTAAGATACGTGCAAATTTCCATACACAGGTATATAACAAATAAATAATACACTTCATACCACTCTTCTCTTATGGAGTATATCGGTGACCAAGCGACACACCCATCTTAGGTCCTCTTAATTTTCATGTAGAAATTTCATATCTCTTTCTCTAGAACCCGAAGGTCCACTAGCATTCCATGTATATTTAATCGCATATAAGAGCATAAGGAAACGTAAACACTTTGCACATAAATGTATCTTACCTTGTTATCGAAATGTACACGAAAAATATTTGAATGCACGTTCCAAAATTCCTTCCTCTACTCTGTGAATGATTTATTGATCGACGGTGATAGTTGATGTATGACAAATTTCTGTTTTCACACACTCTTTCCTCTTTCTCTCTCTCTCTCTCTCTCTCTTTCTTTCTTCTCTCTCTTTCACGTGTGAATATTTTTTTGGTGTGGTAAAATATGAAATCATTGCCTAGTATTTATAGGTGTAGGCTAGAGTAGTAGATAAACCAAAACTTTGATTTGATAAAGTCAAATCCAATGTGGCACGTATCATAAAAAAATTGTACTTTATCATTATTTTATTTCATCTAAAAGAACTACCATTCCTATCCAATAAAAATGTGGTAGCCAATCAATCAAATTCAAAATGTGTTAAAACTATATAAAATTATATTTATCTTGTTTTCTTTCAATTGGGTATAACTTAATACGTTCTTATCCAAAATAACTTTTCTCGAGTCATAGACTTCTAATTAATTACGACCTTCGAAATGAGTCTAATATTGATATACATATCATTACTTTATCAAAATCCAATTATTTGACCCCAAATATATAATATATTAATATTTATTTGACCTTAATCCCTCACTTTCAAAATAATATAATAATTTATTTATTTTCTTAAAAAAATTTCGGAATGTTACACAAGTTCCACCCACATATTACACTCTTCATTCTCCAATATGATTCCTTGTATATTGGGAACATCTCTTGATTTATTTTCGCAACTACCCACCAATCAACTCTATCTCTAGCCTTTGTAAGAAAACATGTGTAATATACTTGTTGAGCTTTCTAAGCAAGTATAAATACATCATTTCTCTGTAGTTTCTTCTTATGATTAAGCTCGACAAGATTGAATCTTCAATGGACTCTAACCCCACCATGGGTGTTAAATTAATCACACTTAAATAAAATAACCTTGTTTCCAATATCCCCTAAATAATCCAGTTCCAATATTTCAATTAACCTACCATAGTAGTCGCGCTCATAATCATTATGACAACTTCCCAGTACGCACACACCACTATTCATTGTTGCTTTGTTGGAACCATAGTCTAAAGTATAGAACTAAAACCCATTGACAAATTATCCGTTATAACATTTAACTGTATGAGAGGGACCCATAGCCAAAGCCTTAATACAATTATCAACTGCATTATGATCATCCAAAACCTGAACAGAAGAAATATTGTGCATTAGAACTCATTTTATGAAATACTTTGTAGGCAGTGGAGACAATATTTGCATAATTACTTATATATTCCTTCAACCAGCCTGAAAAATGTTCATCATGTAAACCATCAAATTGTGCATTAGAAAATTTGGGAATACGATGTTCTCATGTGTTTATCAAACTCCTACAAGAAAGTGAAAAACTAAAATACAGCTAACTAACTATTTAATTCGACACATATATTTCAAATGTAATTATAACAACTTATGCTACAAAAGGGGTTACTTCTTCACAATTCAAGAGCACATATATTGAAGCTGCTCTGAATTCCTCAGTTGTTATTAATCTGACATTATGACATTGAATGCCAAAGGATCGTCCAAGGTGAGTAAAAATCGATTGTCATCCTTTAAGATTGACAAAACCTCCATAATCATTTCTCGACACACGATTCAACCTTGTTTCAACATGTTGATCAAAATACAAAGAGCAAAAAGTATACGTTTCTTCTACTAGATATGTCTCTACAATAGATGCCTCAACATGAGGCTAATTTTTCACCTTCTTTTTTAAATGGTGTAGGAACCTGCGATACATGAAATTAATATTCAATATCATTCTGATTTCAAAAGGTAATTTAAATTTTAAAGAATATGATACCTTTCAATAGGATACATCCAATGATACTAAACAGGACCTCCAACCTTTGCTTCAAATGCTAGATGAATAGGTAAATGTTCCATTGAATTAGAAAATCCCGATGAAAATATCTTTTTAGGATAAATGAAGAGTTTCAGAGTAAGCATTACACAATCTCCAAGATTTTTTTTTGGAAAAAAAAAAAGAGAATATATCTTCCAGCTCAATTGGTAAAGCTCCGCTTTTGCAATTGGGTTGTTGCGATTACGGGTTGAGAACATCCCACATGAATATTCTACCATAGCGAGTATTCAAGAATCGGTCCAAGAAATTTTAACGAATTTAAAAGTAATTGTATTGAGAAGTAATCTATATGGAACTTGTGACACGTCTATTTATGTCAGAGGTCCAGTGAGCCCCTTTATTCTGAATTCGTTAATTCATAATGAATCAAATATCCCCAAGTAGAATTCGAACCTACGACTAATCGGTTAACTTGCATAATATCACAACAATATTTGTTCCAATTGCTCCATATCTTTCACCCTCAACATGGTAGAGTATATATCCCTAAGAAGTGGCTAAGTTCAGTTAAAGCTTCCCAAATTGGGTTCAGTAACAAGTCTTTAAATGCAATCTATAGCATTCTTTGTGTAAAAATATGACAATCATGGCTCCTCATTCCATAGAATTCACAATCACCCTTAACACAACGTGAAATGTTAGATGCATAACCATCGGGCATTTTTAGATTTCTAATCCAATTGCACACTTCTCATTTTTTGTCCAACAGTTAAGCTATAAGAGGCCTTTGGTATGAACAATTTCCCTCTTCATCTTCATATACATGAAGCTTCGGACGGTTGCAATAAAGTTCCAAATCCTTTCTAGTCTTGAAGTTGTCTTTGGTTTTTCCTTTTATGTCATAATTGTGTTGAATATGTTGTCGAAAATATTCTTTTCAATGTGCATTACATCTAAATTGTGTCTTATGAGATTTATATCCCAATAAGCAGCTCCTAGAAAATGCTCTTCTTCACCTAATTATGGTTACGATAAAAACCTTCAGTTTCTTGCCTCTTATTAGCTTTACCACTTTCACCGCGTGGGAGGTTCTCCACTATACTTCACAATTCTTCACCAGTTAGCCTTCGTCGTGCTATGTCCTTCTCAACTCTACCTTTGTAAAACTTGTTTTTTTGTTTTCTAAATGGATGGTCAGGTGGCAAGAATTGGCAGTGACAATTGAAAAAATACGTTTTCTCTCCATTTTAAAGTCCGAACAATTTAGTCTAGCCCATACAATATGGACAAGATTTTAAACCGTGCGTACTCCATCCAGACAACATGCCACATCTTGGAAAATCACTATAAGTCCATAGCAATACAACATTCAATTGAAAATTCTTCTTCGTATGCATGTCATAAGTTTCAATACTTGCATTCCAAAGCATTTTTAGTTCATCAATGAGAGGTCGCAAATAAACATCTAGATTTTTCCTTAGGCTCTTTGGTCCCGAAATTACCATACTCAAAAATAAGTTTTCTTGTTGCATGCATATCCATGGCGGGAGATTATACACAGCAATGATTACTGGCCAGCATGAGTACTACACATTAGACATGTCAAAGGGGTTGAACCCTTTCGTGCATAAACCAAGATGTACACAACGTGGTTCAAGGGAAAATTGAGGATAAGTTTTATCACTTCCATGCCTCACTATGTACTGGGTGTGACATTTCATTATTAGTTAATTGATTCTTCGAATGCCATAACATATGCTCTGCAGTATGTCCTCGACATCTACAATTATTGGAGCCTAGAAGTTAGAGGTAAATATCTCAATACCTTCTGAGGTACCCTATGTCCAGATCGAGACACCTTTTTTTTGTATCGTGGGCTAAAACATATGCTGCAATGAGTCATGCTCTCAATTTATCTATAGTACAACATGCAATCTTAACACAAGCATGGATCTTTACAACATTAAGACCAAGACTAGATGACATTTTCCTTGTTTTATAGTATTTATCTTCTAACTGATCACCTTCTAGCATAATTCCCTTAATGATAGACAATATACGATCATAACACTTTGTGTTAGATTCAAACTTCGGATTCAAGAGTTGTGCCATTGTAGAAAGGTTGGTATGTTTTTGCTACAACCAAGTCAAACAGGTTTGTCAGCTTCTTGTAATAGTCTAAAGAAATTTGCTGCATGGGGCTTGTTCCTAATGTCCACAAACATTTGGACTAATATAATCATTGTACAATTCTGGCAATACATCTATCAACATTGCTTCATGGGTATAGTTTGTTATAGCTCATATAGTTCAGGATTCAACTAAATCTGGACCATTGAAAGTAAATGGTTCTCCATGTGCACTCCATTGCGTATAACCCCTTGTAAATCCAATTTTATAAATATGAAATTTCACATCATCCCCTTTTAGAAACCTTCTATTGTTACATATAGAACATGGGCATTTAATTATATCTCCAACTCCTATTTAAGACATGGAAAATTTAATAAACTCTTCAACTCCTTCAATAAATTTGTCTGAAAGAAATCTATCATCTGACCGAAGCATCATCCAACTATGGTCTGATGCCATATGTACCATTGAAGGAGTATGAATGTACGATTTTTAAACAAGTTCAAAGAATCTTATATGCTAGACTTCACTGCATCATGTAAAATAAACTAATAGATCTTAATGGCAGCAAATCAATACATGCAAATCACATTGATATGCGCACTAACCTCTCAAACAGTGACATTTACTCTGCAAAAAATGTTAAAGCCCTTATGATACAACAATCTTAAAATTTTATGACTGCCATATCAGTGGTACAATCATCAAAAGAATGTTCTAGTAAAAAGTATCCACAATGTCACAAGTACTTCCTGGAAGATGTCCCAATGCTTCTCCACACAATGACCAGGTGCATAGGAAGGAAGACATTCTGAACATCGTCAAGCGTGGAAATGAATTTTCACTTAATTACATCTAAAAAGGGACAAAAACTCCTCCAATGTACAATCAAATGACTTAACATCAACCAACTTAACCTGATTAAAATTAGCTCAAATATATATGACTTCATGGGCTAAACTTTGATGCATAAATCCAAGTCAATTGCCATGTCTATCGAGTGAATTGACCATGATCTGCTAATTAACTTGTATACTGAAGCAAAGTGTTAGGATGAGAAAAATTTTAAAAAGCCATTCACGTTCAAAGGGCAAACTAACTTCTGGTCAGATCCATTATTATAAAGCACATTGAACATGCATATTTCCATTGTTGAATGGATATGTTGAACTTGACACACTGCATTTTAATTTTTAAAACACGGGCAAGGTTTTAATACAAGTAAATTTTTAATCCAGACCTCATTTTATAGCCAAAAAATAAAAAAATTAATTAATTCGAAGTAGTAATAAGAGCTTTTACAAAATATATAATAAAAGCTTACCAAAATGAAATGAGGTGATTTGAAGCTGCCATACAAGATACTTTGGGAACAATTTGTATTCCTTAAATAGAGTAGCTATCATCCATTCTAAAATTCAATGTTGTCCTTCAAAAAGTTCGAAAGACTAATCATAAGGCATAAATCCTTTTGAAAACAAGGCAATAATTCCATGCCACTAACAAAGACAATATTTGAACAAAAAACTTTACTCCCCAATTCATATTATCAAAATCAGTTTGAAGATAATCACTTAGGCAATTAATCAAATAGTTTGACAACATGCAAGCAATTTCAATTAAAACTAAAGATCAAACCACTTCAGTTCACCATTCCTATTAAAAAGAAATGATCAATATTAATTGCATTATTAACTAAATGCTACAGATTTAACAGCTGTTCAGAAAATAAATTAACACTTTTCAATCAAGAATCTCTATTATTAAATCCTTAACTTGGACTTAAGAATTCAAGAGAGAATTGGTTGTATGTGTTCAAAATTAGACCCATTTGCAGTTAATTAATATCATAAACGATAAAATTAATCAATCAGATTACCTTGAAGGTTTGTTCATACACGCACTTAGATAACTATTTCTTATCTTTAAAGGATGATGTCCACTGAGAAGGAGGAAAAACACGGGCTTCAATCGCTAATGTTAAAGATCCAGTTAAGAGTTTAAAGATTGAAATCACTATGGCAGGGACAGAGCCGGTCCTATATCTAATGGGCCTTGAGGCGAAATATGAAAAGTAGGCCCCCCAGCGACAAAATTCAAAGGTGTATTATGCGACTCATTGCTAACTTAAAAAACTAACATTAAAACAACAACGAAATATATTATAAAAACGATTTATATTATAAACCATCAAACCAAAAATTTCAAACAATTAGTTAAATACTATTCGTCTTACTGTTTTAGAGGCAAAAACATCAATCAAATCTAAATGATTTAGCTGCTCAACCATTTCTTTTTCTATTGATAGCATAGCCAACCCATTTAATCTTTCTTGCGACATAGTTGATCGGATATAGGTCTTGATCAACTTTAATTTCGAGAAACTTCTTTCTACAGATGCAACTGTAACCGGTATGGTTAACAAAATTTGGTAAGCAATATAAGCATTTGGAAAACAAACATCCAATGTCTTCAAATATTGTAGCACTTCAATTGCTCTTGTTGCTTCACTTGGTATGTAACACCTCAAGACTTGTAACTCCGAACATAAATCTTCCCCACTGATATCCGAACGCCCATTATGTTGAAGATATTTCTCAAGATTCAAGTAAGAGTTCAATAAACTTGAAAAAGTTGCACCTCTTAACCTCTTCAAACTAAACAAAAATCCAAATGTATCATCATATTGTTTGAATTGTTCAAATCGGATCCTCAGAGAAGATAGAGCTTGATCAATTATAAAAATAAAGTACTCAACTCTAAAAAATTCTTCTGCTGATTTCTTTACCTCATTACTACCGCTTTCATCAAATTGTTTTTCTTCGAATTATGCGTTTTTCTGTAAATACAGCTTCAATTCCCATTTCGCTTGCCTTTTTTGTCACTTCATCTTTGGCAATAGCAAATCCAATTTCTCTGTATTCTTCAAGACATGAAACAAGTCCTTGCAAGAGGTCGATAGCATGATCAATATCCATGGATTTGGTTTGAAGAAATTTACTCACAATATTAACAGCATGCAACAATCTGTGCCAGATTATCATGCCAAACAAAAACTCAAAATTTTGAAGTTCATGTGTTGCTAATGACTCGGCTTCACTCTTCACTTTAGGATCTTCATTACTTTCTGCTAAATCAAGTAATGCATCTCTTATCTGTGCAGTTTGCTCCATTATAGGCTTCACACTTTCAACATGACTTTCCCAACGTGTTTGTGACAATGACTTCACTGTTAACCCTTGAACATTATCTTTGAAAATTTTCCGTCGCTTGGTAAAAGAGGAAAACAATGTGTAGATGCGTTGTATCACTCCGAAAAAGGATACAGCTTTGGAACAACAGTTCACCATATCACATAATGCTAGATTTAGACTATGAGCGCCACATGGAGTATAGAAAGCTCGGGGATTCATTTCATGGACTCTTCTTTACACACCTTTGTGCTTCCCGCTCATGTTAGATCCATTGTCATACCCTTGCCCTCTAATGTCATTAATACCGAGATCAATTTTTATCAAAGCCTTTTGAAGCTCAGTTGCAAGTCCAAGTCCTGTTGTGTCATCTACCTTCAAAAATTCTAGCCAATGTTCTTGAACTGTAGGTAAGTTTGACGAATTATCTACAAATCGTACAATTAAAGACATTTGCTCCTCCTGACTTGCATCTGGAGTACAATCAAGCATAACTGCAAAATATTTTGCATCTTTAACTTTCTTGACAATTGAACTTCTCTCCTGATTAGCCAACAACTGTATCAACTCATTTTGAATTTTTTTGCCAAGATACATATATTGAATTTCTTTTGCTTTAGCCCGCCGAAGGTGCTCTTGTATTACTGGATCAAATTCACTAACCATTTCGACCATTTGTAAAAATAGGCCATTGTTCTCAACATGTAGCCTCTCATCATCTCCTCGAAATGGCAATGTGTTTTTCGCAAGTCCTTTAACAATAGCGATTATCCTTGTTAATACATGTCTCCAATGTTCTCTTTCAGCATCAATCAACAATTCAACGCTTTTATCAATTGTAGTTTTTGATCGAAATCTATTTTCCAGTTCAATCCAACTAGTCATGCAACGTAAATGCTCTTCATTTCCTTCATGACTTTTAATAGACCGATGCAAATTATGCCAATCTTTGAACCCATCATTACCTAGTTGGCCAACTTTTGTCACATTTATTGGTGTTTTAAACAACTTACAACAAAAGCAAAAGATCCTGTCCATAGACACTGAATATACTAGCCATCTTCTATCAACTGCTTTCCCATTTGGTAGCAATCACTTATATTTTGAAGAATCGAAATGTTTATTTGTATAGTCTTTTGGAAACGAGATGTCATCAACTCTTTTTGGACCCCTTTCAACTAAATAATCCCTTGTTCTTTGATCAATAATTTTCCAATTCCCGGGATCATCCAAATTTAGAGAAAAGCAACCCTCTTCTTCCTTATCATCTTCTTTATCATTAGAGATGGGCTTTATCACTTCTTCTTCCTTATCATCTACTTCATTAACATAGGTAGGTTGACTCACTTCTTCATCCTTATCCTCATTCAACGTATTCACATTGTCACTTTTGAAGTACTTGCTAATATCCCATGTTGACTTTGAATTAATGCAATTTCATTTCGTTTTCTTTTCCTCTTTTGAGCACCAGACTCGTATTTAGGAGGCATAGTAATGTCCAATGATTAGCCTAAAAAACAATTACAAAATAACTCAATTATCTCACATTTATAGTTTCCAATATAGTTATTACGTGCGCATGTGCAATTGTTCATCCTACAATAAGCAATCATATAAACCGACCAGGCTGCAATTATATAAGCCAACAAGGCTTCAAATATTTACAATCTCTTCAATAACAACTTAGGGTAAGGCATTGCTTACCTGATAAGCAAAATTTTGACGAAAATTATGGAATTACACCCTTAAGAATGATCCCGTTTTCTGAACTGGTGGTAAGCTTATCTCAATTTTTCAATTGTGTCAACGATGCTCTAGCATAGGAAAAAGAAACGTGTAAGGAAATAACTATATCAATTAATGTTGTCATCAAGCTCATATTTGATTTCAAATAAATGCTAACAATTACCTACAACAATTAATTTATAGATTTCTGTGTCGCTAAAAATTTTGACCAAAAAGTAGAAAATGCATGCATGCCGTAAATGTCCATTTAATTTTTAAAAAATATATATATTTATTTGATCACCAAACACAAATAATTAAAGAACAAAATCATATATCAACACATATATAATCATCTTTTCCATAAATTCAACGAAAGAAAGTCTTTAGTCTGGTCGAATACAATATGCCAAAATATAGACTACTATTCCAAAATAACTAGTTAAACTATTACAAAATAATTGATCCATATATCAAGAAATTTACTTCTTTAATCAACATTTTAGCTATCGAAAAAATATGTGGGGCTACTTCAACTAAAGCTTGACTCATTAGTGATTACGAGCAGAGGATAAAGAAATAAGGTCTTCCAAGTAAACTGGCCAGAATTTAGGAAGACCCTAAGGTTAATTATTGGCAACCTAAGTTACCTAACATCACAAGAAAGAGCACTCCATCGATTCAATTTATTGCCAAACGTTGAACTGTAGCTTAAGAGAATTAAATATGGCAGACAGAAAATAAACAGGGTGCCACACAACCTTGTTTTATACTGCATTATAAGATAAAAGGGTAAGTCTTTTGTAACATTTAAGGTTTTATGTAATATCTGCTTATATGAGACAGTTTAAAGTAAAAGAATATTTCATATCTGAAGCATCACACCCATCTTACACGCATCGGTCATCAAATTCTGTAAACTGCAATATAGAAAAGACTGAATATTATAAATAGTTGTTTGACAGTAAAAGAATAGCCATTGCATACCTCATTTTCAACGACAGCAATCCGCTTTCCATGTTGAGATGTCAATAAATGATTCAAAAGGGTGGTCTTCACATCATGCCAGAATACACAAAGTTCAGAAAATACAACCAACATATTAAAGAAAAAGACCAATTAAAATATGCACAAACTGATCTTCCGAAAATAACTAGAGAACCTACTATGCGAGCTTAAACACAAATACATATACTATCACATAATAATATACCAATAAACGTGTGCATTCATATGCAAAAACACATGAATGTTTACAACTTAGCTGGTAGCCCCATATAAAAATCACTAATACATGTCAATTACCTCAACAAGACGCCTATGGAGCCATCATGTAGGCTTTCTAATTTCATTACCTTACAATCTAACAATCTACTTAAACCATTCAGCCATTCTAACATTACAATCAACAAATACATTGATCAGAATTTAGCCAAAGGATGTTAAGATAAATTAATAGCCAATGTCAAAACAACATAACAATTTCAATTTTAGATGTAAAAAGTCTCAAACCCTAGATCATTACCCTATAATTGAAAATGAACACTTGAACTAGATAGTAGATCTATAAATGTAATTATAAATTATGTAAAGAAACATCAAAGCAAGAAAATGCTCAGGATCAAACAAACAAAATCAACAATTTATCAACCAGCAAACAAATGGCAAAAAATCGAATCTACAGACTACAAATCTACAATGTGATTATGTGAAGAAATTACTACATACAAGTTACAACGCCAGGCACCGGCCAGAGCCCGCGTGCCAGTGTAGTGCCGTAGCGGAGCTGCAGAGTGCAGAGCCAGACAGAGGGAAGGGGATTTCTGTGGACTTGGTCGGCGGACGGTGGACCTGCAGCCTGCAGCCTACGGTCCTGCGAAGGCGAGCAGCGAAAAGCGAACTAGGTGACTCGGCAGTCGACAGCACAGCCAGCACTCAGCAGAAGCAGATGCCAGAAGAAGGGCCAAGGAAGATAAGATTCGTGGTGAACTCACCGTCTCACCGTCGCCGTCACTCACCGGACGCCCGGACTGTGTCACTGTTGAGAGGGGAGTCACGGTGGCTTCACAGTCGTGAAAGTCGGAGGCAGTTCATGAATTTTCATATGAATTATTTTGGGAATTTAGGGAATGGATTGGATTTGATTTGGATAAATGGATTGATGGGTTGGGATTTATGTATTGTTGGGTTGGGATTGGTTTAGTTATTGGATTGGGCATTTCATTTGGGCCGGATGGATTAAAAAAAAAGGGGGGAGGGGCGAAAATGAGGCCCCCTAAGATCTTGGGCCTGAGGCGGAGGCCTCATTCGCCTCGGCCCAGGACCGGGCCTGGGCAGGGAATGAGAGAAGAATGAAAAAGAGACAATGAATTGGGGGAGAGGAGAGAAATTGTGTATTTTGTTTTGTTTTGTTTTCTTTGATTTATTTTTAATTCCAATAAATTTATTAACATAACAAATTGTAGGTTATATTTTAGATTTAAATATAATTAATTTCAATAATATTACCAACGGATTCTCTATGGATAGATTCGTAGGTAGATTTCATTTTTTTTTATTCTTTTTATTTTTTTTTTTACTAACAATGTTAGGATGTTACAATTTTTGTTAGAAAAATTTAGATTTTTATTTTATTAAACAATTTAGCAACGGATCAACAACAAAATTTCAGTGACAGCTATATGTCGTGGGTAATTCCGTTGCTAAAACATTTACTTTATAATTATAATATTTTTTTAACAAAATATATATTGTTGGGAAGTCGTAGGTAATTCGTCACTAATAGCAACAAAATTGAGTTCTTTGGTAAAAATTCATCTCTAAAGCCTCCTTTTCTAGTAGTGATTTTTATATCTATTTTGCATGTGGAGTTTAAACTAGTATTCATGTGTGAGACTAAGAAAGATGCTTAAGATATATTAGAAACCACACATGAAGGAATAAAGATCGTTAAAAACTCTAATTGTAGATGTTGGCCACTAGGTTTAGAGAAATTATAATGATCGATGATGGATCTTTTGATGAATTTTATGCTAAATTAAATGACATGGTTAACTTTAGTTTCAACCTAGGTGAGGGAATCATTGAGGCTCAAATTGTGAGAAAGGTCATGATATCTCTACCTCAGAGGTTTAAATCTATGGTTTATTGGTATTTAAGAAAGCAAAGATCTAGATGCTATCAATATAGAAGAACTTGTGGAATCTCTCCAAACCTATAAATATAGCCTACCTCAGTCTAAGAAGAACAAATCTTTTGCCCCTCAAAACTGTTAGGAAAGCAGACTGTGATATCATTGATCATGACAACCTTAAGGATGAAAAACTTGCCTACCTTGCGAGAAAATTTAAGAAATTCTTTAGGAAAAGTAAGAGACTTTCTGAGAAGTTTAAAGGTGATTTAAGTATATCAAAGAAATATAAAAAGAGAGAAGAGTGTGATAGAGATACCCGGAAGATTCTATTAGGTATCATGAGTACCAGGATTTTCGTCATGTTAAATCAGAGTACCCAAGTTATAAGAAAACCTTAGGTAAGGCTTTGAATGCTACTCTAATTGATAACAAGTCTAACTCTAATAATCAAAGTGAGAATTCAAATCTTGATAAGGGAGAGAATTACATGGCATTCACATATGTAGTTAATAGTGAATCATGTGAGGACATAGAAAAACCTGAACCTCCACAAGAAGAGTTAGAAGATGAGGGTGATATTTATGAGGCTTTTGATGACTTTGTTGAAAAAGGTCAATAGCTCTGCCTTTAAGAAATTACATAAGCTTAAGTTAGAAAGTGAGAGCCTTGTGGTGAAACTTAAGGAGTCTACTATTAGATTGAATGAATTAATGGTTGAGAAAGAGTCCTTAGAAGCTAAGCTTAAGACTCTTACTAGTGACCTTGAGAAATATAGTGTTCAACTTCAATTGGTTCGTAGTGATTCTAAGAAGATTGACAATATGTTACAATTGAGTACACCTAATACCCATGCTGCTTCATCTTCCAACACCAAGTTTGCTTTTACCTCTGTCAAGTCTAGAAGAGTAGTCGTCCCAAGACCTAGAGTATCTATGCAGCATAAGGTTTCTCAACCTAAAATTGTTACTAAGGTTCATTCCCATAACTACGGTGTTTTAGGTCACATAAGATCTAAGTGTCATAAGTCCTTAATTAGGAGCATCAAACAAGATCTAACTACTCATTAAATTTTTGACCGACCAAGTTAGTCATGTGACTGAATTGATTAAGATTACATCTTCTAAGAGGTTTTGGTTTAAAAAGATTGAATTCTCATGTCAAAGTGATGTTGTCAATGGTGACATTATTCATGTTGTTCTTAAAGGTAAGAACACTTGTGTTCTTCATTAACTAGGTTTTTAGGTGTATGCATCTGCATTGATCATGGTTTTACATATTCTTGCATCCAAACACTTTTTTTTCCCTATTTTCTACCCTTTTTAAAATAAAAATAAAAATTAGGAAATATGAAAAAAATGAAAAATGGATTTTTGACATCATAACACTTTTGAAGTGATATAATTGCATTGTGATCGAGTACTAGTAAAATTAATAAATGGTGAATAAAGTTTCCATCAACTTTGTTTAGAACTTCATTGGAGTACTTGGTATAAGCTATTTTATGTATCATCAACACTGCACACATTAAAATCTTATGAATGATTTTTGATCGCATATGTGAGATTTGGGATGACGGTCATTGGTGTAATAAGTTGACTTTGAATATGAATTGACCTTTAACTTGTTGACTTAAACTTTTTTATATTCCCCTAAAAAAAATGTTATTGAATTTAAAAAGTTTTAAATTTCATAAAAGATTATGAGATACATCTTATACTTTTCTTCGTAACCTCTATAACTTTAATAATTAAGCCTGTTGCGTACCTTAAAATTTGGTGCATATAATCGTCTAACTTAGGAGTGCTCGACTTAAAACTCATTACAAAGGTCATTTAGCTAGCTTAATGAAGAAGTCTACACAGAAAAAAAGTATATATGCTCACAAATAGGGAAAGAAAGAAAAGTTATACAATGAAAAATTAGATACGAGCATTTTGATTAATAGGTTCAAGTAACAATGGGTTTAACTTTCATAACATAAGGAATAATATTCATTCACCAGCGATTCTTTGCATATTCATTCTCATTGATTTAAGGCTTTGAGACTTACTTACATGAGTTTAGTGTCACTTTTCACACGTGTAGATTATACAATTTACTCCATATAGATTTAAATATTTAATGTGGAAAAAGTTCATTGTTTATGAATTATGCATGTCTAAGTAATTACTATTCATGGTGTTATTTTTGAAAATTTAGGAAAAATAGTGGTCTGAAAAGATAGAAAATTATTTCCCACCATCACATGTGTTGCATAAGTTTTCATCATTTGTCCATGTGTATTTGTTTCCTCATTCTTCTCGGTCTTATTCAGGATTATATTACATATCTCCCTTTGCTATTCGTGACAAAAAGGGAAGAGATTAATATTTATTTTAGAGTTAATTAGTTTATTAGTTACGGGGAGTAGTTGATTGTCTTTCATATTGTTTCTGATATTTGAGTTAAGGGGTCATAGTAATTCCTTGATATTTGATGATTGATAATTTGATTAGCATTATTGGATATTTTGTCTTATTGATATTATGTTACGTGTTTTGTATAATATCAATATCATTATTGCGTGTTGCTAGTTCGGCTATGTTTCTCAACTTGTTATGTTTATGTGTTGCTAGTTTAGCTATATTTCTCAACTTGTTTTGTTTTGATTATCAATTATTGATACACGTAGTATTACATTCTTGGGTGTTATACTTGTTTTACTTGCCTTTATTGAGTTTCCTCTTATTTTACATGAAGTGTTGTTGTTTTCAAGTGTTTAAGGAAACAAGTATGATAAGGCGTTGAGTTGAAGTTTGGGAATTAGGTCTTTAGGTAAATTGTTGTTAGGTTGCTTTAATTTAATTTTGAAATAAATGACTTTATCACGGAATGCTAGAGGGGGACATTGTTAGGTCTAATATTGTAATTAGCAATTTCTATTCCCAAACCAAGAGTTATTGAGTTGTAATTCAAGTCAAAATAGTTG